CGAGGTGAAGTTCTGTGTATCATGGTGATATATGTGTCGTCACACTGAAAGTGTCTGGCTAACAGAGAAGCTTGTTAGTGCTTGCTCTTCCTTATTCTCCGCCAGTGTTCTGGATGTGCATAAGGGGATTTTCTGAGATTTTCTTGGTCCTGTTTTCTTCTGGCTGTGTTCCTTTTTCCGGTACAGAATGCCACTTGATGGGCTATATTGATCTGTATAGACACCTTTTGTCATGCTTCCAGTCCAACCACCCTCTGCCAGTTTGCCCCTTACTGGTGAGGGCAGTCCCATCTGTAGTTTAGCTCTCAAAATTGACTGCTCAATTTGACTCACATCTGGATCATTTCCGGTAATATTTCTCCACACTTGATGAACTCTTGACACGTAGGCTCTCGGATTTTCTTGTTGTCCTAGTGGATCAATCAGAATGTTGTCAGGATGCACATTTGTTTGGAAACGTATCTTTTCAGTGCTCTCCACAGCCAATTTCTACTTGCAGCCAACAATTCAGGGTCCGTCACTGCAGTCCCCACATAGCTATGAAGTCCAGCTCTCTGAAAAAATGTATTCCATGCCTGGAATCCCAAGGAGATTAGCCAAAAGTATCTTAATGTCTCCTATGGCTGACTGTGTTCCCACCGTAATTTCTTCCAACTTTGAAAACCAAGGATATATTCCATCTTGAAGAGTAGGCAGCTTCTCAAGTATATCTGACATATCAGTATTCTGCAAAGGCTTAACTCCAGGTTCTGTCCTCGAATGATCACTGGCATCATCTTCTACTGGTGCTCCCTTGTCTTGGCCTTAATGTATACTTCTTCTCCAATTCTTTGGGATCCTTTTTTCATAAGTTTTTTTCTTCTGTATCTTCAGCTTCTTGAGTTGTTCTTCCAATTGTCTTACTTCTTCTAAATTATTGGCCTTTTTCCAGGCATGATATGCATTGATCTATATCTTGTTCTATTTCTTCTGTGCTAGTCATTGTAGGATAAAATCCTCTTGAATATGAAGTACTTTTTAATCTCCAAATCTTCATCGCTGTCTCCATCTACTTTAATCATGAAACTCGAATCTCTTGTACTCTTCTTCTTCCAACTTCCATCACCCCTTCTTTCCGCTCTGGCCAACCTCTGTCTGATCACAGGGTCATATCCACCCATTATCTCTTCTGAATCACTCTGATCATATCATCATCATCATCTTCAAGGTCCATCCTCCTGAACCTCACTCCACCCTTAGTTTCCAGACATCTCGTTTTGTTCTTACTTTTGGAGTTTGGATTCATCTTTATGGTCGTTTCTGCTCGTCCTCTCTCTATTATTTGATCATCTTCATCTCTGATGCAATAATCACCCTCCTGAATGATTACTGGAAGCTGAGGATAGACGTCCTTAAACTCTACTTCTTCCTCGTAAGGTGGGGGTCTTTTTGCTGAATCCATATGTGAGAAAGGTGTATTGACTTCTGCCATTAGTTTTTCTGTTACCTTCACCTCTTTTGCAATTTTCTCTATACCTCTGTCTCTTTTATCTTTTCTATCTTTTATCAGTTTTTGTCCGTCATTTTTCAAACAGCTTTAGAACACCCAGCTCTCTTTGTCTCTTTTTTTAACCATTTTTCCCCCTTCTTTGATCTGCCTTATACGGTGGATACAAGCACTTGCATTATCTTGATGACGTCTGGGTTAAGAGTCCCTTCCACTGGCCATGGTTGTTCAATGTCAGGCCAACGTTTATTCCATTTTCCAGACAACCTTGCAATACCATTAAGTAGAGGATTACTATGTTGTACTATATCAACAGGAGTAATTACTTTTTGTAGTTTTGATGTCCTTTTCCCCATTGTAACAACTCTTTTATATGTGTCTCTCCTTTTTATTTATTTTATTTGTAAATGTTTTTTTTAAATGTTTTTTTATGTGATTACAATTAACTAATTAATCAATCAATCAATCAATCAACAAATTAATTAATTAATTAATTAATCAATCAATCAATCAACCAATCAATCAATATATCACTTTATTTTATTCATTTTATTTTACCAAATTATTGATTAGTGGCAATCTTACACACCATTTGCAAACGTCAGCAAAGTCATAAAACTGTTTAGGATACTACATTACCATTTTCAGAATTTGTTGTTGAACAATTATTTAATCTACACAAAAGTATAATGTATATTAATGTAAATATTTTATTCAGAATAATTGCTTAATATATGTGATATTCATTTCATATAAATGTTTTATTCTATTTTTCATGATTCTAGAGGACAGATCACTGTGACTCAGACTCCTGCAGTGAAAACTTTTCTCCTATGACAGACAGTCTCTCTGAACTGTAAAACGTGCAGTAATGTGTATCAAGCAGGTTACTCTGATGCCCGTCTTGCCTGGTATCAACAGAAACCTGGAGGAACTCATGAACTCCTTATTTACCATACTAAAAACACTCCATCTAGATGCAGTGGCAGTGGAACTCATAGTGTCTTCACTCTGACCATCAGTGGAATCCAGGCTGAAGATGCGGGAGATTACTACTGTCAGAGTTTCCACTACCCCAACAGTGTCTGGGTGTTCACAGACAGTGGCGGCTCCTGAAAAAATTCTCAGGGGGGGGCAATTTTTCTGATGATTTAGGTGACCTACACACATTTAAAAAAAGATATGTCCAGCAACAACATGAAGACAGGGGCAGCATATAAGTCAATACCAGAAGCATTTATTGACTGATCTCAAAAGTGTTGGCTTACCAGGGTTGGTGGAGCCCTCAGTTTCATCTTTGCCTCGCAAAGCTAACTCAAACACTCCGCAAAACTTCACACACTGGATTAGCCGGCTGAGGATGTGGCGGTTCTTGCTAATGTCGTAGTAAATATATTTGTTTATAGTGAATATGGAATATGATATGTTGAGTAAAATGTTGTGCTAAGATCTATTTAGGTCAGGAGCTGGTTATAAGTTCTGTTCCTATCCAATAACAATGGACAAAAGGGTCCTATCTTGTCAGCCTTGTCAGTTTCAGTTCTCCAGTAAACTTGTGATTATCAACACTAACCTCATCGTTGTGGCGGTGGACAGCTAGCCTGTATCCCTCATCCAGTTGAGTAGCAATGTTCACTCTCCCCAAAGCAATCTCAAACAGCTATCCATGTGGGTCTTTGGACAGCTCATGTTTCTTAATCTTTCCTGAAAGATGGTGCATGTCCGTTACACACCAGTCGCTGTCCAAGCGGTGCTGTCTGCCGTGCCGCCATCAGGGTGAAAGAGTAAGCAGGGGTAGCAGAAAACTGCATTAGCTACATCGCAGCCTGCTAGCCAGGTTTTTCGTTCATACCAATTTTGGAAAATCCTCGGGTGTAGGACTTCCCCCCTTTAGTAGAAACCTGTTGAATTATTAAATTTGGTCTGGGAGGTCCTAATTGTTTCGTTGCCAATTTATCTTCATTTGTTCGCCGACAAAAAGGAACTTCTTTCAAAGACACAATCGAGTTGCACTGAAGCCTAGCCATTTTGATAGTAGTAGTGAATTGATTGACGCTGCTACCCGTTCTTTTCTTAGTTACGTTCATGGTTACGTTACGTATGACGAAAAGCGCGTAAGTGCAAGCCCTCAGAAACCCATAGAGATTGTATTGAAAGCTCTGATATTTGAAAAAAATAGATTTTACATGGGAGTCTATGACAGACTTCTGGGCGATTTTCAACCTTACTGAAATCGCCCCAAAAGTGGGGGGGGGGGGGGCATTTGAAGCACGACTTTAGCCTGATTGGACATTTAGTGGCACTGTGGCAGATCAGGCGTTCTAGATTACAACACTGATAACTACTGTTGCCGTGTATATAATTGATTAGAAAAAAAATCCCTTCCTTTTCCCGTTTGGCAGTGCGTCGCCCATATAGCCCTATTGAACACACCGCCCCTGTTCACAGATACATAAAACCTCCCTCAGTCAGACTGTACTGCTACAGCTGGGACCTACTGCAGGAGCTGAGGGGAAGAGACACTGACATGGAACAACTGATCAGTAGAGGAGGTCAACTTTGATGAAAATGGTTAGAAAGTGTCATTCAGATCACATGTTCTCCCAACGTCTCATCATCATCATCATCATCATCATGGTTGTAACTTGTTATATTGTCATGAACTGAAATGTATATAAAAATGTATTAGAAGTTTTGGAACACATTACCAGTCCATTTGGCAGAGTAAGATCTACTGAAGTAAAAATAAAAGTAATGTTAATTCAGACAGACAGGGCTAGAGCTGACTAGGTGAAAAATCTGTCGATGTGCCCTTAAGCAAGGCACTTAACCCTAATTGCTCCTGTAAGTCGCTCTGGATAAGAGCGTCTGCTAAATGACTAAAATGTAAATGTAAATGTTCTCTTGTCCCAGAATAGAGCAGCACTGTCACCAGATGTTCACTCTGTCCCCAGGGGGATGGAGTTAGAGAAGACCAGGGGAAATATAATGGAGAAGTGTAGACCACACATTGTTGAAAACCATTGCAAAAATATCTAATTTAATAAAATCATATTAGGAATTAAACATCCTAAATATATATGTTATGGAAAGTAACTGTTTAGTAGTGTGAGTTCTGAGAGCAGATCTTAGAGGTTTATTATCAAATATCACTAATTATTATCACTGGTAGTGATGCTACAGTATAACAGGATCATTCAGTTGTAGAAATGATTGCAGAGTGTTGTATCAGATGCCATTTTAAGTATGTTTAAAAACATGAGAGTAGCTATATGCTACAATGCTGAAATTATAAATGAAGCTGATTGATATAAATTAGTATGAAGTGTTCTGCCTATTCATGTGATAGTGATCACTGGAATCATGATTAAATCAATTATTGGGTTATTTTCTAATCAAAACAAGCTTTATATGAACTCAGAGGCAAGAAGACATGTACAACATAATCTCAAAATACTTCATTTAGCACACAGTACTACTGATATTATTCACTATTATACTGTAACATTCAGCTCTAAAACACTAATGTTTCCAGAACTAGCACCATGTGGGGATTCTCTAGAATCCTACAATTGCTTCTCCGGTCTCTAGACACTATATTTAATTTTCCTGAAGGCGGCTGAATCACTGGTGTCGTCGTCGTGCAGGTGTACACCTCTCCATCTTCACAGCGTGCCTTGCTCAGGGTCAGGGTGCTACTGCGGCTGAAGTGGCAGCCCTTCTCTTCTTCTGTGGTGGTCAGGACCCCATGCTTGACCTCCACCCCGTCCACCTCCCAGCTCACCATCGCCCCCTGGGGGGAGGGTTAGACACTCAGCAGGCAGGCAGTTTGGCCGAGCCCCTGGAGAGTTACTCAGAGGACAGGAGGGAGCAGAGACACTGTTTGCCTGACAGAGGGAAGAGCTGGAGAAGAGGAGAGATGATAGAGGAGAGTCAGCTACTACTACTATTGTAGAATGGAATATATAGGAGAGGGAGAGGAGAGGAGAGGAGAGGAGGAGGGAGAGGAGAGGAGAGGAGAGGAGAGGAGAGGAGAGGAGAGGAGAGGAGAGGAGAGGAGAGGAGAGGAGAGGAGAGAATACACACAGGATAAACAACTAGCTACAGTACTGAGAACAACCGACAACAACAAAACACTTCATCTATAAAGATAAAGGCAAAAATAAACTCTGAAAACATTTCTAGACAAAACAATTCATCAGATAAATGTATGTTACATTCATGCTCTACAGTTTAGCACACCAAGAGCAACAAAACACTAGGAGGGGGGTTTCCTGGACACAGATGAAGCATTGTCCTAGACTAAAAGCTCTTTCAATGAAGATTATCCAATTGAGTTTGCTTTTCAGTCCAGGACTAAGCTTAATGTGTCTGGCAAACTGCCCCTAAGTCTACAAAGACATGCAGTAAACAGATACACTGCATTACCTCATCAGGTATATGCTTAAACATTACAAAGCACAACTGATCATGACCTGGGGTTGTATATCCACAGCCTATTAAGGCTGAACGCATGTCATGTATGGTAAAATCAGCATCCAAAGAAGAGTCAACAGTATCCCTTTCTTATTCACATTAACATGAGCATTTCAAATCTCACACCTACGTTGCTTTTATACTTCATCCAAAGTAACCCCACTATGTACACTAGTAACTGTCTTCCCCAACAAGTCAGCTTTTTCTTTATTATTTATTGACCCACAACCAAAACTGGAATTCGAGTGGACTTGCTTCTTCCGGTCATCTTCTTCAACAAAGACCATACATCCCCCAGCTCAGTACCCCTGCCTATTGTAGAGCAGAACTGCCTCCATGCATTTCTCTTGACAGACTTAATGACCCTACGTACTAAAGCTCTCTTCCTTTGGAAATCAATTAGATTCTCAGGAGTCATAGAACCTACGCAACACTCTGTAAGCCCTATTTCTTTCTCTAATAGCCGCAGTGCACTCTTCAGTCCACCATGGAAACACCTTCCTTTTCTCACCCACTTCACTCTCTGGTACATACACATTTGTAGCACTCAAAATCAGTGATGTCACAGAGAAAGCACATACATCAACCAGCCTCTCTAAAGACAACTGTCCAACATTTAAGCAATGATCACCAAATTTTCCCAGTCTGCATTATGAAAGCACCATCATCTGAACGGTACCCTATCTGGAGTAGTAACATCAAAGTTCATGGTACACGAAATTGGGAAATTACCACTTCCAACAGTAGAATCATCCATTCCATTCACACATAGATGCAATATAGTTATAAGCCAGCGAGGTCCAGGCAGGATGTAACCCCTCTAACAACATAAACTCTTGTACCACATCCATCGTTAAGACATATGCTCTTGTTTCCATCATATCTTCCACAATAGTACCATCAGCATCTGTATGTGTGCTTCCCCATAAACTATTATGTGCATTAAAGTTGCGCACCATATCTCTCTAGAGCCCATTTCTCCTGATATTTCATCAAACATCGCTACAGACAGTTGTAAAAATTGTGTAACTTAATATTACTACCTGCAATGTATATTTCCACCATCACACATTCATATTCAGATGGGACAGGTATATTACGATATACAAGACCTTCTCTTATGAACATAGTACAAATACCACCCTGTCCAGTTGATCTATCGGATCTGATTGAACAATAACCAGGAATAATCAAATCAAGATGTGGTCTAAGCCACATCAGGTTTAATCTCTAAATCAATTATATATTTCTTAAACACCTGACCGTTAGTACAACACCTCGTTCCTGCCACGCCCTGCTATCTTCCAGCACCTTCACAGTCTTTAATTGATTCCAGCTGAGGCTCATTTACCAATCAAGGCCATGATTGGCTGGACAATCAGCTCTCAACCTTTTTAAAGGTCAGCTGCTCACACATCTCTTCAACGAGGGGAGAGATGGTGGAAGAAGAAGTAGTGTCGTTTGAAGCTGAAAGCGCGTTGAGTACAGTTAGTGAGAAAGATGAGTGGACAATAGTGAAGTCCAAGAATGGAACAGAAAGGGCTAAAATTGTTGTGGAAAATGAGTCTGATGAATCGTTCCTGTCACGTTCATTTAAGGACGGGTCAGACCAAGGCGCAGCGTGAAAGGCATATATGTTTATTTCACCGATAAACACACGAACAAAACAACGAAATGTCAAGTCCTAAGGCTAAAGACAATACAAGCCTCTAACACGGAACAAGATCCCACAACTAATGATTGTAAACAGGCTGCCTAAGTATGATCCCCAATCTGAGCCAATCAGAGACAACGAGCGACAGCTGTCTGATTGGGAATCACACCCGGCCAAACATAGAAATAAAACACCTAGACTGAGAACATAGAAAATACAACATAGAACTCCACACCCTGACTCAACATACTAGAGTTTCATACGTCAGGGTGTGACAGTTCCTTGTTGGAGTACATTTTTTGGATAAAGATGTTTATTTGGGAAACCCTTTTGAAGTCAGAGGATGGTGAAGAAGGCATTGGGAAATGTGGATGCAGTCAAAGTAACCAGGAGTGGTATGGTGTTGATATCATAGTAACCAGGAATGGTATGGTGTTGATATCATAGTAACCAGGAGTGGTATGGTGTTGATATCATAGTAACCAGGAGTGGTATGGTGTTGATATCATAGTAACCAGGAGTGGTATGGTGTTGATATCATAGTAACCAGGATGGTGTTGATATGGTGTGTATCTAAAGAGCAAAAGGAATGTGCATTGTGGCTCGCGAAAATATCGACGCATGAAGTGAACAGCTTTGGTTTTCGGAGCAGGAAACCGGTAAAAGGTGTTATTTCTGGCGTCCCGTTGGACATTGATAATCAATATCTTAGGCTAAAAATTCCAGGAGTAGTTAATGCATGTCGCTTGACCCGTATGGAGAATGGGAAAAAGGAGCAAAGTTTATCTGTATTATTGATGTTTGATGAGTATTTACCACCCTATGTAAAGTTGGGATATAAGATACGCTGTAAGAGCATTCGTGCAAAACCCGAAGCAATGCAAAAAGTATAAAAAGTTTGGCCATGTGTCAAGTGTTTGCAGATGGAAGGAATATGTTATTGAAGAGTCTGTGAATGTAAAATGTTTCAACTGTGGCGGGGATCATAATTCCGAATACCCTGAGTGTTCTGTTAGGGTGAAAGAGGTTGAGGTGTCAAGGATCAGGGCTGTACAGCAAATCTCCTATGTGGAGGCGGTGAAGAGCATTGAAGTTCTTCAGAAGATATGGTGGTGGATGCAACACAACCAGTTGCAAATGTTATACCTCAATCAAGTAATCTGGATACACTTATTGTGAAAAAGGTGTATTTTGTAGCCTTTATAGCCACAGTTATTAATTGTACTGCACAAGTGTCTAAGAAGCTGGACATCATTATATCTGCAGCCGAGTGGTTATCCCACTGGCTATGTGGTTATCCCACTGGCTATGTGGTTATCCCACTGGCTATGTGGTTATCCCACTGGCTATGTGGTTATCCCACTGGCTATGTGGTTATCCCACTGGCTATGTGGTTATCCCACTGGCTATGTGGTTATCCCACTGGCTATAAGGTGAATGCACCAATTTGTAAGTCGCTCTGGATAAGAGCGTCTGCAAAATAACGTAAATGTAAATGTAAATGAGAAGACTTAACAGCAGAAGCACTGCAAGGACTACTGTCGCCAGGAAATGTCCCGCCATCACAGGATCCTTCTGAGCCTGTGTAGGGACCTGATTAATTTAGTTTAATTAACATTTCGTTACTGATAGTTTGTATGGATTTTTTAAAATATATGTATTTATTTATTTTTTACCCCACATTTTTTTCCTTTTTGGATCCTTATTATCCACATGTACAGTAGGTGGCGGAATACACATAATTGTTGCGAACACTATTATACCAAAGAAGAAGATCTCTTCAACTACAGTTTCTCTGTGGGACCATGAAAGTCTGTTTGGTTAGAGAGAACACTTTGCATTGCCAGCACATGTTTCAGAGGTCTGGGAGTGTTTATATCCCTGTGAGTTGAACACTTCATGACTGTGGGCTGTCCTTCATGACAACAGAACCCACAACAACCATGACTTTTATCACCATCCTCATCTGGACACTTGCCCTCTGCTTTCAGGAAAAAGATTTTGAGCTCAGACATTACACACATCTCCGTAACCATAGAATTAGGAATTTAAAAAAAAATAATAATAATTAGCTTCAAATCAAAGCCTATAACACACGTGAGAGTCCAAGATATCGGTTGACTATTTGATAGTTCTTATTTTATTACTGTAAAGTCTGTCAAGTCAAACACATCTGACACAGACTCAGTATCCTGATGAATGAAGACAGTTAACTACAACCATGGCAGAACCTCTTCTATTATATCATATTATATTGTGATAGTATTAAATACTGGTCAATTATGATGTTAGAGTGAGTTTTAGACTTGACAGTTTTTTAAGACACCATTAATCAGCCTTACTGAATACATATTTTTCCAGAATATTGCAAATATACAGTATCTATGATCCAGTTTATTAATAAAAACAACAGAAATATACATTCCAAAAAGAAATCTTTATTTTAATCCATTATCACACAATCGAAGCATCAAAACAAACATGATAGTGAATAAAAGCAGATCACATCAAATCTAAAACTAACAAAATCTCAATCTACAGAATGGATTGACACATGAACTCAAGCCAAGCCCCCTGTTAGTCTACACAAGAGTGATCACTATATTGAAGAGCGACTGATTTTAGAACAAAGCAAGTCAAAGCAGAGGAACCAGTATCCTCTCTCCACAGGGGTGTGTGACTGAGGGGTCCTACCCAGAACAGTCAGCCCTCCTCAGGGTCTTGGTGACTGGAGTCTGGGATTTCTGCTGGGCTTCACAGGTCACCTCTCCTGCCTTGGTCCACTCCTGGGCAGTGAGAGTCAGTGTGCTGCTCCAGCTGTACAGGCCGTCCTTCTCCTGGACCCCGGGACTGGCCTCCTGTTTCTTGCTGGTCCCATCCACTTTCCAGCTCATGGTCCAGTCTGAGGGGAAGCCCTTGTTGGCCAGACACGTCAGTGTGGCTGTTGTTGTACTGGACAGCTCCTCACTAGAGGGGGGCAGGACGGTGAGGGTGGGGACTCTGTTACCTGGAACAAACAGAACACATCAACTAAGTAACTACATCAAGTACAGTTACAGTAAGAGATTATCTTCAGCAAAGGACACATCAAAATAAAGTGAATTGGAAATGCCTTCTAAATATGAATGTAAAAGTTAGATTGGTAAAAGATGTGGATAAACACAAACTGTAATATGATAAAGCAGATTAATGAACCGAACAAGTATTAAATAAGTAGAGTTACAAGTCATACAGCATCAGTTATACATCTCATACAGATATTATTTAGGAATGGATCTGATCAGAATAGCCTTGCCATATTCATAGTATTTGCAGAATTTGAGCATAGATTGGTTTTAATCACATATCAACCATGTTAGTTCATGAAGTTGGTTACAAACATAACTGAGACCCTTTCTCTTCACACTAACAGTGAAGGCTACCATGAACTCAATGCAACAATAATGAATACTATATCCAATACTATTAAATAGTCATCATACCAGAATTAAGAGTTATAGTCTGCAATCATACAAATCAGACATACAAATAAACCTGCAATTTAACATTTTTATTAAATACAATTTTATTTGAAAGAAGGCTCAGTAATAAGCAATTAAAACATTTTGAAAATCTAAAATCACAATATTTTCATAGAGACAGAGTGTAAGAATAACATACTTATTAAGTCTAATGAGAAATAAATATCAAGAGAGCTTGTTACTTACTTCCAACATCAAGTCTGGTGCCGCTACCAAAAGTGTACCACAGTGATACAATCCCTATTACTGCTCGTACAAAAACCTCCTGAACATTGGCCAAGCTGAATTTCTTTGGACTGTGGTTTAAATAATTGACTCTAATATGGTATGAATACTTGCCAAAGATGATTTTATCTTGTTCATTTGAAATAAAGTATTTTTAGTTTTTTTTGCCCCCAAAATTGAAAAACCTGTTTATTGAACATTTCCTACAAGGTACAGTATGTTTATTCATACACCTAATCAAATGTAGGCTAATCACTCTCGTCGTTTAAAGGCAGGTCAAATTTAATTAGATGTAATGACATACTAATTAAAATTGGCCATATTATGTGTAGGCTTTGTATTATTCCCCTCAAAATCATGTAAAAAAAAGTATGTTAAAAAATTCTCAATATCGAGGCTAGATTTATAGAGATATTGAAACACAACATCAAAAGCTGAATAAAACAATTAATTTTGTTGTTTACTTACTTCCAACATCAAGTTTGGTGCCGCTACCAAAAGTCCACCACAGTGATACAATCCCTATTACTGCTGGTACAAAAACCTCTCTGTGTTGTGATGCTGCAGCTGTTACAGTGAAGATCACTCATACAGAATCATAATCAACACAAATACACTTTAACATCTTCCAGGTAAAACAAACACTTTATATAAGCTGTTTCTAGATAATACAAATATGAATTGTATCTTAAATCCAGATATTAGTATTTCTGTGTATCAGGTGTTCTCCTAGTCTGTAGGTACAGTCCAGCATTAGATCCAGTGTTGCTAGTATTCCTCCATATTGTCCATATGAAAGACAACAGCAGCAGCAGTACTGATAGTGATCCATGTTGTATATTCCTTTATTAAAGATGTTGATCTCAGATTTAACAGTGGTGGTAAAGTCACAGAGGACAGACAACACTACCAGAGGAATCCTACCAGCTTTAGCTTAGAGAACTATTCACTACTGTTCTTCACAAAGGGGGCAACAGATGCTACTGAGCCAGAAGTCTATGTGTCAGGGGAGAAACTCCAGGGGGTATCTGATTTTAAGTACCTTGGCATCATACTTGATTCCAACCTCTCTTTTAAAAAGCATGTGAAAAAGGTAATTCAAATAACCAAATTCAACCTAGCTAATTTCCGATTTATACGAAATTGTTTGACTACAGAGGTAGCAAAACTGTACTTCAAATCTATGATACTCCCCCACTTAACATACTGCTTGACTAGTTGTGTCACGGATTCTGCCGAGGCTGCTCCTCCTCCTGGTTCGTTCGCCGTCCCCGGAGTACTAGCTGCCACCGCTCTATGTTTCTTGGTGTGATTGCTTTCGTCTGTCTTTTACACCTGTGTCCATTTGTGTGTTGATTACTTGTCCTATAAGTTCCTTGTTTTGCTTAGGCTAGATTGTGTGTTGTTTTCGCCTGTCCGTTGTGCTGCGTGTTTTGTTCCTGTTTTCGTGTCATTTTGTTTTACGCACAGTATGCGTATTTTCTCGCCTCTGTTTATTGTTGAGGCCGTTCTCTGTATTTTGCCTATTGGATTACTTCAGCAAACTTTGTTGGACTAGCTTCGGTGTCCTGCGCCTGACTTCCACACACCATACACCTCAGCCCTTGACAGAACAACACACCACATCATGGAGTTAGCAGGAGCAGTGGCGGCACCCAAGTCGCTGGAGGATCGGATCAGCGATCAAGACACCATGATCCGGCAACTTGGGGCCGCCATGAACGAGGTGTCCAACACTCTGCGCCGGTTGGTAACTGGAGAGGTGCCCACGCCTTCTCACACCCATCCCATCACCAACGGCCAGTCCTCCTCTCTCAGCACCGGAACCCAGTGGCATACGGCTCTCGCTCCCGAGGGCATATGACGGTTCTGCAGCCGGGTGTCAGGGGTTCCTCCTGCAGGTGGAACTCTACCTGGCTACCATACACCCAGCGCCCTCGGGGTACGAGAGCGTCTCCGCCCTCATCTCCTGTCTATCCGGCAAGGCATTGGAGTGGGTCAACGCCGAATGGAGGGGAATAGACGCCGCTACCATCACCTACGCGGAGTTTCTCCCGCCGCTTCAGGGCTGTCTTCGATCACCCACCTGAGGAAAGC